CCTTGACATAGACAGGTCAAGGTGAGAGCAAATGTAATTACCGTATGTCTATTTTAGGTATTTATTGTAATCAACACACTATTTAAAACTCAGAATAATATTTATTGCCTATTGGTATAATAGCAAAACATATCCTTTAGTAAAAACATATCCTTTATAAGATAGACTTTTGTCTTCAAAAAGCTCGTATCTTACATGGAAAATACACTGTAGTATAATTAAATTAAATTAAAATTAAAACTTCCATTTTGTTCATATTTCAAAAATATTTATAATCAAATATGCAATAATAATAGTGGTCAAGGTTTGGTCAAGGTGAATTTAGAAAATTTTTGTATTTTTCAAGGCGGTAGTCGGTCAGAGTTGGCAACTCTAACTGCAATTGTGATAAAGATTAGTTAATACAGCACTTATAAAATTAATATAATTCTCAGTAATGTTCATAGTAAAGATTATGCAACTAGGCAAGTTTATTGTCATGTGTCTCTCACTTTAACCGTTATATTGATTAGCAATATTGCCAAACACTTATATCACGTTCACATTATTTTATAATAGTACTGTATAGTGTATATAAATAAAGATTGTCTGATTAGTAAATAGTAAATAAATAGGTTTTCATGTTTACAAATGGAATTACTTAGCAAAAACATTATTTAAAATATTTTATCCTAATTATTTTCATGTTCTTTTAAGTTACTGACCGCTGTGAATTAACTTTAAAAATTAAAAAGTTTGTAAAACCAACTAATATAATGAGTTTTTCTCAAATATAAATATGTTTATAATTAATAATTTTAAATTACGGTTTATATTATAATTCATTTTATTTTAATAATATAATGATATATCATATATGATTATTGTAATTTGTATTTACAACATTAAAATATTATAAATAAAGTCGCCGTAACGTAAGCTGAACTTTTTTAATAAATAAAATAACGCAAATATTGTGAGGTTTTATTGAATTACTTTTTATTATTTGATTTTTTAATTGATAAGAGTTTTTTGCATTGAGTTTGGCGATGATTTTATGTCCAACTTTGACTCATATACTGGCGCCCAGTAATTACCAATGTATTCAATGAATAACACTAATCCTTACTCATTGTGTTCAATGAAGTGTGAAACACTGGGCGCCAGTATATGAGTCAAAGTTGAACATAAAATCATCGCCAAACTCAATGCAAAAAACTTATCAATTAAAAAATCAAATAATAAAAAGTAATTCAATAAAACCTCGCAATATTTCCGTTATTTTATTTATTAAAAAAGTTCAGCTTACGTTACGGCGACTATATCTGTTAAATTTTAATGTTTATAAACATTATTTTCTAAAATTATATTGAAATGAAATACAATGGTGAAATCCAAATACAAATCCAAAAACATAAATAGTCTAATTATATATACATATCTTTATATTATTAAAAATAGTTTTACAGTTTATAAAAGTGAAATGTTAATTATCTAAAAATTTGCTTTAAAATAAATAAATTTTATAAAAATATATAGAGTTTTATTTAAAATTACTAGTCTAGTTAAATTAAATTTTGTATTATAATTATTTAATATTTTGGTATTTAAAAATAATGAATTATTGCAAATAAAATTTGTTATATTATTTTCGAAATAAATATTATTTTTATATTATTTTAAAAAATTATTTTAATATGTTTGCTATCAATGTTTTAAATATATAAATATGGTTAAATTAGACTTTGGCTACAATTAATAATGTCAGAAATAAAAAAGGTTCATTGTGATTCTAATCATGTTATTTCCATAGAAATAGATTATATATTTTTATTACAATAAACGCTCTGTATACATTTTTATAGCTTCATAAATTATTAATACTGTCAAAATGATAATGAATTTAAAGTCCGGGCAACATATTTATAATTACAAATTAATTTAATAAAATATAATAATTCTTACAAGTTAGTATGATCAAATGAATATATGCTAAATCACTTGACCATGGTATATCAACGTAGTAATTATTCCAACTAAAACAACGAGTCACAATATCCTGTGTATGCGATAACAGCAAAAAACTCAACAAGTTATAAACAACAATAGTAACACTGCCTTTACATTAATGTAAAAACTCATAATTAAAAACATGGCAGCTACGCTATACAAAACAATTAAACGCCCGTGCTACATCACCACCATAATCACCACCTTGATTATAATCAACTTACATCAAACTACAGCCAACACAATTGACACAAACTTCAGGGATGTGTTCAACTCGTTGACAGACAACATACCGGCGCCCATCAGGGCTGTGGCTAACCTAACCACTCGGCACAGGCAACATCATTACCAACAAGTTCAAATTATTACCGAACCTGATGATTCCGAATGGGTTGACCCTGACTGGCCCCGACCCGGTCCGAAATGGCCACCCGTGCGCACCACTACCGACAGTGTTGACGACTATATGCCCACCGGGTATGTGATAGAGGAGGGAAAGGTGTGTTCAACCGATAACATCTGTGTCCGGCCGTACAGTGTGTGCGTGGATGACCGGTGCTATTGCGCGCCCGGCTATAAGTATAACGTACTGACCCAACACTGTGTCCGTTATAACTGTACGCTTGCGCCCAATTTGGAGATTGACTGCTCGCCCCCACACGACCCCTACCGGTCCTGTAGTGCGAAGGGTCAGTGCGTTTGCGATGAGGGCTACGCCGTTAATAAAACTAATGGTCAACAGTGTGTATGTAGTAATTTGTTTTTATATAGATATTATGGTAATTAATTAGATTAATGTTTTTTTTACAAAAAATTGATTAAGCTAGACTTTTATTAGTACATGATTATATTTTTAATTTGTAAACAATTGAAATTATTTTATAGTAATTTACTATCTTTACAATATTATTAGTAAATACAATTAAATATTACTTTTAACTAATATTTATATTATTTAAATTCTAGGTAAAAGGCAATGGAGACACAGTAGCTACCGGTGCGGCCACACACAACTGGCACTGGGCGTGGATTTTAGTGGTCATACCTATTATACTGGGAGTGGTTATAGCCGTCTGTCTCAGACGTAAACACCGGATGTTGAAGGAGTCGGATGTGGACCACAGGCGTCACCAGAGGGTTGTGTTCAGACCTACCGGTGCCGCCACTGCCACCACCACTGAGGCCGAGCGCATTAGTGCCGCCCCTATGTTAGAGCACCCACTGTTGTCGCCCCCGGAAGCCCCGCCCAGTTATTCGCAGTCAACCAGTCAGGACACGTGGGCCGAGCACAGGCCCGGCCCGATATTATCGTACGGTCAGCGCATGCGTGAAAAACAGTAATTTGCTCGCGTGATAAGAATATATTTAGTTTTGCTATTTACCTGATTTGTTTTGTCATTTCATTTTTAAAGTGTTCAATATTTTGTATTTATATTTTAGTTTTACATTGATAATTTAAAATATTTTTAAATTATTTAACATTTCAAATTAATAAAATATATATCTTCTGTAATGATTATAGATACAAGTTTTACAAAACAAGAGTATAATTGTGAATTAGATAATAATATACTGAGATAAAAATATTGACTTGGTGCTTGGAGTCCAAAAGTATTATATTAAATATACGATTGTCACTATTAATTATACACCAATTATAAATTACAGTTATTACCAGGGAATTGCATTTACCTATACAACCTATTTTTAGCGGTAAATAATATTACCATCAGATATTAGTATAAAATATTAAATTTTTATATTAATATTTTATATGAATTAATAAAGAATATGGATATTACATATATTGTATATTATTATACATATTATAAGAACTTATGCATTGCAATAATTGGGTATATTGGGTATAAAAAGCCCATGTTAATGCCCCAAACAGTATTATATCATAATATAGTATGAGTGGTAAACAATTTAAATGTGATTAGATTTCATAGAGCTCTGTGGGGTATATTTCTTTAGAAATTTCAAAACAATCTTGAACTATTATTAAGTGCAATTTATTTAGGATCATGTTGCAAATGTTTTAATTCTAAGACAATTTCTAAGAAATATTATCTTAATATAGATATAATAGTTTGGATACTTATAAAAACGAGTAAAATTGTTAATACATTATAATATAGTTAATTCAAACATAATGAAAGTATTAGCTATTTTTTCGGTATTGTATTTAGCGGTAAATGCGGTGCCATTTGGCGAGCATCTAACGCCTGAGCCGGCATTCAATGGCACCAATTGGGTAGTGCTGGTCGCCGGTAGTAACACATGGGATAACTACCGTCACCAGGTAAAATAATATAACTAGTTAATAAACTTATAAACTAGTTTATTTTATTTAATAGTAATTTTAATTAGTTTCAATCAATTTATTTTATTTATTTAAGGCCGACGTATACCACGCGTATCAAGTGGTGAAATCACGTGGTATTCCCGATACAAACATAATTGTCATGCATTACGACGATATCGCGCACAACAAGCAAAACAAAAGACCCGGTGTTGTCATCAATCGACCCAAAGGGCCCGATGTCTATAAGGGAGTGCCCAAAGATTATGTCGGCAATGATGTCAACCCTGAAGTCAGTCTAATTAAATATATATATATATAATTTTAATTATCTTTTTAATTGTGAAATTTTATTATATTTGTAGAATTTTTTGGCTGTTCTCAGAGGCGATGAAAAATTGGCGAATGCGGGTAAAAAGGTTGTCAAAAGCGGGCCCAATGATCATGTTTTTGTATATTTTGTCGATCATGGTGATGTTAGTAAGTAACTATTTTATATATTTATCATTTTATGTTTAATATTGTAAATACAGTATATCATATTACGATATTTAGTTAATTATTTAAGTAGTAAAATAATTAATATACTGTACTTATTTTAAATGTACTAATACTTACTTTATTTTAATATAGTTTAATAATTTATTAATGCTTTTAATATTAATGTAAATCAAGGCTTTGTTTAACAAAATTAATTTTTAAATGTTTATAAAAAAAATCTCGTCAACAGATTTGGTTTGTTTCCCCAAAAAATATTTATACGGCGAGGATTTGGCCAATGAATTGATTGCAATGCATAAAAACAATAGATATGCAAAACTGGTCTTTTATATGGAGGCGTGTCATTCAGGTAATATTTGCATATTTGTATATTTTAATAGTAATCAAATTATTTACTATTTAACTTTACCAGGCTCGATGTTTGAGAAATTACTACCAAAGGACATCAACATCTATGTGACCGCCAGTTCCGGGCCTAAGGAGTCCAGTTATCTGTGTTGGTATGACTCGGAAGTTGGCACTGAATTATGTAAGACATAGCGTAATACTAATAATAAATATATATATAAACAAATACAATATAGCATGCTATTGTAATAATCAATAAAAATTAACACATGCCTAATTGGTAAACAGCTGACCCGTACACCGCCGCCTGGCTTTACGATAGCGAACACAAAGATCTGACCCATGAGTCACTTCAGGAACAGTACCTTTACATTGAAATGGTTATCAACAAATCGGCGGACCATCAGTACCAACACTCCCACCAATACGGAGATTTATCCATCGCCAAACTCCCGGTGTCTCAGTTCTTAGGCGCCAAAAACCCGCCCAAACCGCTGGACACGACGGCCCTCGAGGCCGACAATTGCGATGCCATCCCCTCTCAGGATGTGTTCATTTATATGAAACAAAAACAGATTTTGTCCGCAAAGGATATCAATGAGAAACAACGGTATTTTTATTGCAAAATGCAAATTATATTTAATTATTATTTTTGTGAATTAATTTTTATAATTTTTTTATATAGATATTTGTCTGAATTGAGTGATGCGTTGAAAGGCCGACAATATGTTGACAAAGTTTTGCTTGAATTTGTCGATAGTATTAAACATTTGATAAAAATGGACACAAAATCTGTGTTAAACGCGAAACAAGAGCTCAATAACAGAGAGTGTTATCGAAAATTTGTCGACAATTTCAACGATCATTGTTTTAATATAAATCAGGTATTAATTTATTAGTTGTAAACTAATTAGTATTTTATTTTATTAATAATATGTTATAAATCCATAGCATTTGTATGCGTTTCACAAATTGGGAGTATTTGTAAACATATGTGAATCGTTGGCACAAACGAGTGATGCGGACATCGCTGTCAACCAATTGATTGCAAACTGTAATAAACTTGAAAAACATGAGTTTCTAAGCATTCAATAAATTTACAATAATTTTGTATTTTAATATGCAATTAAAATGTCAATTATTTATAGCATTTCTTGATTTTTGCCATATCAAACTTTCTATCAAGTTTATTAAATAAATAGTTGAAATAAAAAATTAATGAAAATATATTTGATATCATTATTTTTACTATAATGGAACAAAAAATACAATTAATCTTTTTTATTAGTTAATAATATTAAATATAAAGAATACAAAATTTTACTTTATTTTTGCATTACTTTATAAAAATTATAGCAAAAGTATATTATTATTTTTATTACCTTAAAATGTTATGATCAAGTATAAAACAAGGACCACACAACTAGATTTACTAGAACCACAACTCTGGTGATGCTCAACCATAAACTCAACATAGTCAAAGACTTAACATTACCATATATTTAGCATTGGCCGTGTTTAACTTTGTCACATTACTTAATAAATGTAATCCTATAGAAACCCATAAAACGCCTTTTCCCATAGTCAACATGTTCCCCACGTTATTCTATGGGAAGTTCTTAACGTTATAGTGGTAACTAATATGCGTATTATGTACATTTATAGATAATATTATAGAATCTAATTAAATAGATAATATTGTTTGTTAATACATTTTTGTTTTGTGTAAATAAATTTTACTTTTTTATACATTAATTAATTACGGCTATTTATAAAACTGTAATATGAATAGACATTATTGATATATTTAGATCAATAATAATTTAAAATTAGTTAATGGAACCCAAGCATAGGTGACGTAATTTTTCATTTTATAGTTTTATTTATACAACAAATATTTTACTTATCATAAAAGTTTTTAATTAAAAATTACTAACTAAAAAAACTAAAAATTAAAAAATTCAAGTGTTACCTTTAACTTGCAATAATTTTATCATGAGCAAGCGATCGAACTTATGTACTGCAATAATATTACAATACTTAAGTACACATGTCTAACTTCAGATTGCATTAAAATGTATCTACAAAGTATACAGAATAGTAATTCTAGTGAAATAAGTGTTGCGCACTTCACAATAAATGTTGTCCTAAAGTGTACAATGTATAAAACATGCTCGAGTAAAACTATTTCATCTAGTTCATTTATAAAATTATTGTATAAATACAAAAACGCATTTCCATCAAACAATATTAACTTTAAATCAATTTAGAATATTCAAAACTTTGACATAAAATGTCCTACATTATTAAGTTGGCATTATTGACCGCGATCGTATGCGCCGTCCAGAGCAGAACCGTTAATCCATTGTTGGCTACAGTTTTCACCGGTAATAATGGTGTCGATGAGTGTATATCCGTATTAGTTAACGGTGTCTGTAAGCATGATGATAAGCCTGACCACACTGAGCCCTACTGTTGCTGTTCAATATGGAATTATTTAAACTGTTTTGATGTTCATTATAAGGTAATGTGTTAAATTGACTATGTTGAATGTTTATTTTATTTTATTATATGGTAAAGTATTTTAATTATTATAAGCTTTATGTATTAAATAATGTTAGAAATTTCTATAGTATTGACACAATATTGTTAACAAATTTACTATTAATCAAATAAAATACATTTAAAAAAATTTAATAGTACAATTAAACATTATAATTACAATAAAATATGCAAGCTACAAATAAATAAGTTTATATTAAACTAATTTAACCATGGTTATCTTATATTATATAGACTGCTTGTACCCCAGAAGACGCGGCCGCCTATGCGAAGCATGACTGGCAGCTAACTTATCACATATATAAGGAAAATCAATGCACCGCAGATCATTATGGTCGTAATGTGAGCAGGGAGATTTGCAAATAGAATTATAAATGTGTTGATGTTTAAATTTTAAAAATTAATAAAACAATAAATTTGCATTAATTAAAGTTATTTAGTAAGTCTATAATTTAATACTGTAATTATTAATGAGGTTTAATAATAAATTTAGTCGTAATTGTTTGAAATAAAGATGATTTAATTATTTAAGAGTTAAATCAAATATAATATAATGTTATATTCAATTCTAAATATCAACATGATTAAGTTGCTTGCTAAAGTCATTGCTAATAAATTATTAGTAATAATACATCCTTTTAAACTGTGTTTGAGAGTATATCACATAATTATTATGTTCTGTTTAATTAAAACAAACAAAATGTTGATAGCTTTATTAGTAAAGCATAGAAAATTAAATTTATCATGTAAAATATAATAAAGATACTTTAAGGTAATGTTAATTAAGGATAAGACGAGTTAATTGGGCAGGTTTGCATTATTATTGCTTTTCAATTTAGGTGGCAGGTCTGACAAGAGCAAGGGTTTTGAATTATCTCTATTAGTATTTATTATATGAACATCGCATGAATAGTGTTTAATTTATAGCATCGTATGTAAACCTTGTTTTCCTTTTATCTATACATTAAATGTATAGGAATTTACAACAACTAAGCTTTATGAGCTTATAAAACTGTAATTAAGTCAAATATAATAATAAAATATATTTTGTCTGTTTCATAAATTATTCAATTGGCAACACTGACATTCATACTTTGTGATTTAAATAATGATTTAATACTTTTGGTTTAATTTAACTATTTAGTCAAATAAATTTGTAGTTAATTACTATAGTTATGATACGTTTTGTATAAATATTTTAAATTAACAAACATGAGCCATTTAATTTAAACTTGTAATTACTGATCAATATACTTTACATGGAAACATTATTGTATAATTAATAAATTAGCATCATATTTTATTTAATTTACTTAAAGTTTAATTTACAGTTATATAAATATAATTGATAATTATTCTAATTAACAAAAGTGACTAACTAGATTAAATTATTTGTTTAATTTATTAAAACGATTATTTTATTAATGATATATTATTAATTTAGTAACTAATATAGATTAATAACATTATATTATTAATAATAATATTATATTTGATTTATTGCCGACCAAACCATTGCCACCACTCATGTTAGTCGGTATTTGACGTGACCGACGACCACATTTAAAAAATGCAATATTTAAATTTGGCAATCTAGTTCAATTCCACTGTAGCCCATGATACTTGAATTATATTTTAATAAAATTAATTTTATAATTATATATGGTTAATTTACAGTTGTTTTCATATCAACATAACTTACTGTATGCTAACGGAGACCGCGGATCGGGTGGCCATCACTTCGTATAACATTATTATTTATTAATAAACATTAATTAAATATATAGTTTACATAATTTTAACAATGAGATCATAAACTTAAAATTGCTTAATACGTTATTTATAATTATTTTAAATTAACCAACATAAGTCATTCAATTTAAACGTGTAATTACACGATAATAAATATAGTAACACTATTTTATCAATTTTTAAAAACTTTATTTACCAATTTTATATAAGAGATAAAATAAATTATACCATTAAATGTGATGCGACTCTCAATACATTTATTTTCAACACCCGGTAGTCATGAGGTGTAGGAATTGAAACCATTGACCGATTCATTCCTATTACAGGAAGTATTGTTGTTATTACTTATCTTTTTATATACAGTGAAAGCTCGATATAGTGCTCGAGCAGTTGGAGAAGTTTTTAGGACACTATATCGAATGAACACTATAGCGAATGTGTGTGGAATAGTAGTGAAAATAAGAGTATATACTGGTAAAAATGTAATAATCATTTATTTTGATTGTTTAATGTTTTTGAGATAGAAATTTTATATTTGTTTACCAATTTAAATGAAACTTTCTCATTTCAAAACATTGCAAGACAAAAAATAATTGTCTCATAAAACACTATAGAGAGCGTAAAAATAGTCAAAACTAACCAAAAATAGCAAAATTTTGGCCACTATATCGAATAAACACTGTATAGAGAGTCACTATATCGAGCATAAATAGTATTACAGGTATACAGTGGTCGCCAAACAAAAATTTTTGGACACTATATCGAAAAAACACTTTATCGAGCCTTACTCTATCGAGCTTTCACTGTATTTTTATTATGTAACTTAATATTAAATTAGTAGTTAAGTTATCTTTATTGATTACAACAGTTAATAAAAAAATAAGTTAAAATTAAGTCACGTGAATTAATTCCCAAAAAAATATAAGTACAATAAATGGCACATACTAAAGGGTCCGGAAAACATTTTTTCTATGTACGGCAATACCAATATTTAGTCGGTTCATTGGTCGACCCAAATGCCGATCAAAGTGGGCCCGGATGACACGGGCCCACCACTTTTCCGTCATTTTTCACATTTTCACGGAAAAATTTTTAATTGTTTTTTCTGTAAATTACACCTCCCTTATATCATTTAAATTAATTTTTTATTAAATTAATTAATTTTTAACTAAATTTTTTGATAAAAAATTTTCCGTGAAAATGTGAAAAATGACGAAAAAGTGGTGGGCCCGTGTCATCCGGGCCCACTTCGATCGGCATTTGGGTCGACCGATTGACCGTCTAAATATTGGTATTGCCGTACATAGAAAAAATGTTATCCGGGCCCGGACCCTTTAGTATGTGCCACAATAAATAGTGTAACTTATTTTTTGTTCAATTATTTAATTTACAGTTTCCCATGTAAGAATTTGCTTATTATGTAAATGTAAAAATGATTTTGATCGGGTTTGTATGATGTGGTTTATAAAATCGTTCTGCCATGCTTTATCAAAGCATATACTGACTTGCCCTATTTATTACATCTATTTGTACCATCTAACGCAATTTTAATTAAATTTAGTTTTTTATTTAAAAATAAATATGATAATTGAAATGAAATAGTTATTAAATTATTTTGAAATGAAAGTTATTTTATTGTATAAAATTTATAAAATATTTTAAATCAAGCCGTGGTTTAACAGACAATTTATAATATTATTTGAATTTAAACTTTGCAAATGTCCCTGCTTATTTCTTGGCCATAGTGGTCAGCAGTGCATTCAGCAGCATCGTGATTATCA